GCTGAATCTGACAAGTGGATAATGATTGTTCCAATCAACAATTGGATTGAATTGACTGCAACATTATCATTGATTGCAGTCACTGTTGACCAATATATTGTAATACATTGACAGTTTTGACATCAACATTGTCATTCATGTCAAGTTGTGTGTAGTTGCCAACATCACACCTTGACAATACTGTTGCTCTTGGACGTATGACAACATATTAATGTAGTATAGTTTTGGAGGAATATCAAAAAAGTAAAAGATGAGAATGAAGGAATGAACCAATGAGTTAATTGTGTTGTTTATTGATAAAAGAAAACATTGATCATTTTATAAAGATGTGGATAACGGCTATGCGTATCCGTGAATTAGACGTCATAGCTGAGAAAGTATCTTGTTATTGCACAAGTGATGGCTGCGATAGACATCGCCTCAAACATATATGCGTCGCGTATGAGTCTCTGAAATATCTCGTTATTTATGATATTTCACATTACCAATGTTTAACAACTCTGGCACAGTAATACGCACTCGTGCACCGAGTTGAGTTGTCCAGCAATCGATTTTGGAAATGTGTTTGATGTGATGGTTTGAAATGGATGCCAAATGACCACGAACGTTACCAATTGTCATGACAGTTGATTGTTGATTCAAAACGTTGTTTGTTTGGTACTAATGGTTAGAGTGTCACTCATTGACCTGTCAGATCAGCAAGTGTTATTTCGGTGAGTTTCGTGTTTATTGTAGTCACATCAACATCAGCAGGTTGGACTACGGATTTGCTTGACAGAGTTGCAGATCCAGTTGGATTGATAGGCGAGCAACTGTGCAAACAACTGTGCGAGTTGCAGGATGTTTGAGATCCAACAAAACACTGCTTGCACACAAGTTCACGAATGCAGATTGTCAGACTTGACCATCAACTCGCAGTATAAATTGCGTGTACGACAGTTTACACGCTTACCCATCAACAATAAACCCACATAACCAGCAAACCGTCAACGAGCAGCCAGCTCAGTGGTCGGGTTGATGTTTTTTGTTGGAGTTTCTGGATCAAACTTGACCTGATTTGTACCGAGTTGTGTCATGACTACAAGTTTGACAGCAATAGATTGATCTACTAATAATCTGATCGTGTTGTTGATTGTATGGATGTTGGTAATCCATTGCAGATTGATACGGAATGTGACCAGAATACCACAAAGTTTATTGAGTGTGCACATTGCATTCGATGCAAAACGCAATAAACAAATGCGAGTTGCAGCATTCATTCAAGGTTCGACACCAGTCGATACAGCATTGACCACAATGGCATTTATGTCAACAATTGCACGACTACGGAATAAGTCGATTGTTGCTTGACATTCCGTATCGACAGTCTGCGTGTGTGTGCAACGTGCTGTTGTCGCATATGAAC